CTTCCATTGTGTCCCGTTCTCTTTGAAAGATATGCCCCATCCTGATCCAGACCACTGTAACCATAGAAATTTCACTGATGTGATACAGTTAGCCACTGGATCTTTGTAGGTTTTACTACTTTGCAGTGTATGTGTCTTACCAGCACACTTGCCCCTTCTTTCTCATCCAGTCCAATTTGCATGATGTCAATAATATAATCAAACCTGAGTTAATTTTTGTAGGCTGTCCAAGCAGTACAGGTCTCCTTGCTATAGTATGACAGAGGAATAAAGAGTTAACATTCCTGGGGTAAGAATATAATTGTCTACTATTGTCAGCTCTAAATAAATACCAAATATTTCCAGTACTCCTTTCTTATAGAGATGGAAAATAATTCTTTTGCCTGATTGTGGCCATATTCCATGTACCCAAGGGTAACATGTATACAACATCTGAATCAACAGCTATACTTAGGATTAATGTTTCATTCAGTTTGCAATAATCAATTTTCATCTTCCAGAAACCATATAGTTTTTTTCAGAGTTGCGCTGGTGACTTAAATAGAGATAAATGGGTACCATCATCTCTGCATCTTTGAGGTGTTTATGGGTGGTACTAACCTCTGTGATTCCATTTGTAATGCAAAATTATTTGAGGTTTCCTACCATGACCAGTGGAGGGGAGGAGAGCAGTTTCAGGAGCTTCTACCTGGTCTTCTCACTACAGCACTCACCCAGCTGGCCAAGGGATCACCGTGGACTTGGTACCAACTCTTAGTACGTGATGTCTAATTATATATTCAAGGACAACAGACATGACTACTGGGTGAGTTCTTGGACCTACTATAAGCCGAACATAGGCAAAGATTAGTTTTATTAGCTGGCTTCCATAAGCCCCTACTGTAACAGGAGGGTCATGATCATGTCTTGGTAATCTGTTACCTCATATCTGCATTCTAGAATCCTCGAAATATATGTCCTAGATCTTTTCCCAGTTATTCAAATAAGTGACTATGAAAACTGTTGTGGACTCAATGAGGCCCCCTCCAAATTTATATGTTGAAAACTTAACCCCAATTACTGTATTTGGAGACAGGGGCTTTAGGAAGTGATTAAGGTTAAATGAAGTAATCTGAGAGGACAGGTGAACATGGAAGAAGAGACACTAGAGGGTTCTCTCTCTCTCTCTCTCTCCCCCCTTCTCCCCCCCTCCCCTTTGCACAGAGTAAAGGTCATATGAGAACATGGTGAGAAGGCAGAAGTCTGCAAGCCAAGAAGAGAGGTCTCATCAGACACTAACTTGCTGACACCTTAATCATGGACTTTCTACCTTCAAAATGGTGAAAAATAAATTTCTGTTGTTTAAGCCACCCAGCCTGTGGTATTTTGTTATGGCACCCTAAGAAAACGAATGCTAGTCCCTTTGGGAATGGACTGGAAGAATGATTATTATTTACACCAGTCTTGGCATTGAGAAAGTCTTTCACCTGAGGACCTGCCTGCTCCTTCCACAATTGGGTCCTCTGTCAGAAAACTGGCTCGGGCAGAACTACAATGGTGCAATACTTTACAAGTTTGGGGGAATGGGTTACCTTTAGCCTACTGATCACCTACCTTTCATTTCTTTCTGTCGTAGATGTTGAGCAAACCCAGTGATATATACCTGTAGGAGCTGATTGCTAAACTTTCAGGATTTTGCAAGCCAATTGTTAAACATAATTATTAAAAATTATGTTATGTAAACTTAAAATTAAATAAATAATATTAAAAGCAAAGGTAATAAATACTCATAACTCACAATTCCTGATCATTTTAATGCATTTCAGTACTATCTGTGCATGAAGTTATTGGCATCTATTACATCTGCATAGAGGACATAATACCTAATGAGGTACACCTCTTCCCAACTCTGTGGTCTGTGACATCACACTGGTAGCTCAAAATCAGCCACAGCAGGAAGAATTACACCGCAGAAATCAGCAAATGTTACAAACCAGGGTTTTTTGCTTTTCGTTTTCTCTGTACCACCAGTTGTGAAAGACCAGCACATGAGTGGAAATAACCTTTTTGGCTATTTATCGATATTGCCTCCAGGACCACTGAGTTTTATCTGACATTTCTATAGCTTCCCGTGTGTCAGTAATCCTTGCTGCCATTAAAAGTTCAACCCTCATTACAACACTTGTGTCCACCTTGTTTCAGCATGGAGCTCTGCCACTTGGCCTCCACTAGTCCAAGATCTCAACATCCCCAATACTATCTGTAAATTCAATTCTGTGAGAATATCTCCGACTGTAACCCTTGTCCTGCAGAGGAGGAACACGTTCAGCTTCTGAGAGATGCTTATGCCCTTTCACCAGTGCATTCCTTATTGCTCTGGTAGATAAGTGCCATCTAACATCCCAAGGAACCTGGTCATTTTGTGAATTTTCTGTCTTTCTACGTAGTCTATCCACTAAAGCATGCCCACTTCTCGAGTATTTTTATCTTCTCTTCAACTCTGCCACAGCAATTCTGGCTTTTTACTCTGCTCAGCATGAGCCACTGCTTTCTCCAATATTCTTGGAGTTATTCCAACAGTGTATTAGCACTATCTCACAATACGTTTGCCAAGTTATTAAAGTCTATATCCCAACAGAGGGCTTCAATGTTGATAACATCTCCCTTCTCCAGCTTTATGTTTCTGTCTTGATCCAGCACTCTCAGAATCCACTCCCATTGTGTACTCTCCAGGCTGTTATCATTACACATTGGTTAAGTCCAAGTTCATTCCGTGTATAATCCCTTCTTTCTCTTAAGGTTTAGCACTAAAGCTTAGTTATTGGCCTTATGACCAGGAAGGGAAGAAAAAGATGATTGTAAGTAGGGTGTGTAGTTTCTTTCATGGCAAAGGAACATTTTTTTTTTTTTAAGTGAGGAGAAAGTATAGACCTTAACAGGGGAGAGCATGCCACTTTCTCAAGTTTAGACCATTCAATGTTTAGAAGGTTCTAGGTTGTTTTTCTTTTAATTTTTGAGAAAGATTTTGTGAAAAGAAACTAAGGGTGCTAGAGATAGGGGGCAAGGAGGGAGGGGTGTTGGGAAGTGATGGGTCGGGCAAAGGACATAAAGAAATACCACAACTTGTAAAAATGAATATGCTAATAATGAATAAAAATTTAAAATAAAAAAAATGTTTTGTGAAAAAGCATTATACGAATGGTTGAACGTATTTATAATACATATATCTAACAAAGGAATTTTCCATGTGATTTATATGTGATGTTAAAATAAAAAAAATGTTTTGTGAAAAAGCACTATACGAATGGTGGAACGTATTTATAATACATATATCTAACAAAGGAATTTTCCATGTGATTTATATGTGATGTTACAGCCAATTTTATTTATATATGTACATATCTATGCACACACACACATACATATCTTAAAACTTATAATAAGAAAACAAATAACTACCTAAAATGGGAAAAATATTGAAACAGAGGAGTCACAAAATAGATAGACAAGTTACCAATAAACACATGAGAAAATGCTCAACATAAAATTAAGAGATGTGTAAATTAAAACCACATTTAGATTCCACAATTTACCTACTAGAATGGTTAAAATTTAAAAGACGACCATATCAAATATTTCTATTAATGAGGAGCAACTGAAATTGCTCTACATTAATGCTGGGAATGGTACAACCTTTTTGGAAAACTTTATATGTCTATAAAATTGAACATATATTTTCTATATAGCCTAGCAGTTCCACAACTAGGTATTTCCTCAAAAGATTAAGAAAATACATGTCCACAAAAAGACTTTGGCACAAATGTTTATGTTGACCTTACTAATGAAGGTCAAAAATTGAAAAAGACAAAGCCCAATGGGGTAATGGATAAACAAATTATTATATATCCATTCAATAAAATATTACTCAATAAAAAGAAATGATCTGCTGACCTGTGCAATAACATGGATGGATGAAATTCAAAAACATTATGCTGAGTGAAAGACAAGAGACCCAAAAGTGTGCACACTATTTTATTTTGCTTATAGAAAATTCTGAAACCAGCAAAACTCATTTTTATAATACTAAGTCGGTGGTTGCCTAGTTCCAAGGGTAGAGGGATGAACTGCAAACATATATCAGGGAACACTTTGAGGTGATGAAAATGTTTTATATTTTGAGTCAAATTTTACATCTTGACTGTTTTTCTCTTAAGAACAAAACTAAATTTCACTCATCCATGATTGTGTAATCTCTATACTGTCGTATATGTACATGCATATCCGATAGTTCTTTGGGTAGCATCTTTTGTTAATCACAAAGGTAGAATACATTCATTTTCTACCAATTGTTTTTGTCTTTTCTCTGTCCCAAAGTGGACATAATTTTTTATCTGTTCTTTCTTCTGCATTTTTACCTTGCACAATTTCCTTATGGGAAATGACAGAAGTGACAAGAACTCTACATGTGAGGCCACCCACTTATAGAAATGTTTAACCACGTATTTCTTATTCTTTTCACATTTTCTTTATTTTCATTTCTCTGGGCTGCACTTTCTTCTCTATTCTCATTACCTTTTCTGCTCACAGTTTCTCTGTCAGAACAAATGTGGTGTTCATTCTGAAGCTGCTTGTGGGACATTGGTTGCTTCTCTGGTTTCCTCCCTAATATATTTATTGAGCAAGAATATGAAATCATTGAAAATTCTGATTAGGACAGATTGAAAAGGATCCCTGTTGAGAAAATAAGAACATATGAGTTTGTTCTTCTTCACATTTTAACTTTTATTTTAACTTTCTTTTTCCCCAGGAAACTTACCCCCACCCAAAATAAAAAAAATAAATTGTGGTAAACCAGAGCATGACTAACGGGTAGTCATGTGATTACTTCTTGTGTGAGAAATGCTCAGTTTGTGTTATACTTCAAAAGTACCATACCTCTAGTTCAGAGCTGTGCTGTGTAAACTCTAACTCTATTAAAGATAAATCAAGTTGAACCTTGAAAAGACATTATGGAAGACCCGATGTTCCGGGCCGCTGCCCTAGATGAACAGGCGTCAAGTATTAACATCAGCCTAGGAACTGTGAAAAGGAAGCAAGGTAAGGACATTTTCAATTGCTCAGAATGAATGCTATCTATTGAAATTATAAAGCACATTAAACAAAAGCTTCTGAAGGAAAGAAACTGGTTTTGTGGTTTCTTTCGTCAAACTATAAAATTCCTTTTTTACAGCACCAAAATTTAGATGGTAATTGACTATTTTGTTCAAATAAATTCAGATTTCCTTTATCTTTTCTTAATTGATAGCAAAGAGGAGTTAACCATAACTTAAAACCGTTCAAGATTAATTTAACTTTCACTAAATAGTTCATAAAACAAATGCTGGCATATATGTTAAATGTGATCCAGATACTCATGTAATGCTCAGAATGAATACAAAAATTTTTTAAATTAGCCAATTTTAAAAGAGTTTTTAATTTTTTTTATTCAAAAATATTTTAGCATTTACTTGTACATGTCTGTGGGGTATAGTGTATTGTTTCAATACATGCACATACTGCACAGTAATTCATTTAGGGTAGATGGCATAGTTTGTAGCCATTAGTCCAGCATTTCTCCCCAACCCTTCCTTTATTAGGTGGGCTCAATATAGACTAGGCTTTAGGAATAAATAACAGAAAGAGTATCTCCCTATCCTACCCTAACCTAAATAATTGCTGATACTCTGATAGCCTGGGAGATGTCTTTAGCAACCATAAGAAGGATGACAACAACAACAAAAAGTACAAAGAAAACACACCAAAAAACAAAAACATAAAACAACTTGGTAGCATTGGATGTACTAAATAGCAAGTTTATAGCATGTGATTCAAACTCTAAACCTAACAGGAAAATATTTCAGTCATTTCAACAGTTCTCATTTCTAGTCGAAATGTGGTGAAGAGAGGAAAGGATGAGACTAAGATACCTTAAATAGAACAATCTATTAAATAGCAAGTTTATAGCATGTGATTCAAACTCTAAACCTAACAGGAAAATATTTCAGTCATTTCAACAGTTCTCATTTGTAGTCGAAATGTGGTGAAGAGAGGAAAGGATGAGACTAAGATACCTTAAATAGAACAATCTATGACTTGGGGACTACGGTGAGATTTAAGCTTTTCTCATTTAATTTAGTTTTAACCTGCCAGTGTATGCTGCAGTTAGAAAAATATTATTGAAGTACATATTAGAATGCATACTTTATTCTCTCCCTCCTCCCTACTTAGTTTAGCCAATTTTATAATTTTTCTGCCTAAAGTTAGTCAAAACAGGGTTGGGGGGAATGGGATCGATTATTAGGTGGTCACATGAAAACATCAGCTAACCAAAAGTTTTAAGGATGCTTTCCAGCCATTCATAAAACCAGTGTTATTTAAAACAGTATATTTGTGTGTATAAATAAATTACATATAATATATTACATATGAATATATTATAAAATGACTGACTATTACATATGATGATAATATATATATTATGCATATATATATATATTATTTGGAATTATGAACACCATTTTAATAGTAGTAATTTAGGGCAACATGATATAATTCAGTTGCTTTTTTGTATACTTTTAAAAATATTTTACTTTGTTTTTCTGCTTATCAGTATTTTATAATTTTTTCTGTAGTTATTAGCTAGAAAAAAATATTTTATTTGAGTTTAAATTCATTGGTTACCCTGGATCTTTCCTCTTATCTCTCCTTAGAGAAGATCAGAATCAGAAATGTAGAAAATGGTTAGTTGAGTCAGTGAAGCTTCTCTGTGGGAAAAAGAATTGCAATCCTTAGCTGTTTAGATTATAATATATTTGAATACAGAAATATTTTAGGCATGCTGTTAATTAAATAGGTTGTTATTGAACTGCCCTGGGAAGTTGCCTTTTTTTTCCACATTGCTTCTTCAAACATGTTTATTAGAGCAAGTGGGATTATTTTTTATATATTTTCTATCCATTATTTTAAGTAAGATAGGCCATTTTGATAGTCTTTACTCCAGAAGTAAGGCTTCTTTGTTTCAACAAAATGAAACAAAACAAAACAAAACACACATCTCCCTGAAATCAATGGCCCTTTCAGTTTTTTTTTTTTTTTTTTTTTTTTTT